TGGGAGGTATTTACACTGAAATGCATACCAAACTAGATTGAGGTGGGGAGAAATGAACTCTTAGAGAATGTTTTGAAATGCTGATACATTGACATACACTACATGAAAAGTGGTTAATTTTTCTTATTTGTCCAAAGATGCTTTACTAACTGGTAAGACCAAACAAAACAACAACAAAATGGATTTTTCTGTTTTTAGACATTTCAAAGAGTATTTAAAAGGTGTGCTGTGAGTCAAGATCCTAGCTCTGTGTCTTCTTACCTCTAGCTCCTTGGCAAGTTATTTTAGCCTCTTTGCACCTCTGTGTCTTTATTTGTAAAATTAAGATCATATTAGTATCTAATTCATACAATTTTGGGTGTTAAACTGAGTTAATCCCTGTAAATATTTAGTCCACATGGGTAGAAATGGGAAAAAAAAAAGTCATTGATGTGGTAGAGAGCAGTGAAGAGGGTGGCTTGGGAGCAGGTGGGCAGGAGCAGGGGCCAGGCCAGAGGTGTTCTGGAGACTGTGAAAGGAGCATATCCTTACACTAAAGACACTGAACAGTCATTGCATTATTTTAGGCAATGACTGATATAATTAAATCTGTAATACAGAAATAATGTTGAAGCTAATCAAAGAGGTTATGATAAAGATTTTTTACTTTCTCACCCTGGAGCAGACTAGGGTAACTATTTAGCCTTTTGTTACTTTCAAGTGGGATCTTCGTCAGGTTCTGGTAGAGCTGCTCTTTTCCATAACTCCTAAAATAGAAAGACTTATCCTTACAAAGAATAATAAAAAGAGAGGCTGGGTGCAGTGGTTCACACCTGTAATCCCAGCACTTTGGGAGGCCAAGGAGGGCGAATCACAAGGTCAGAAGTTGGAGACCAACCTGGCCAATATGGTGAAATCCTGTCTCTACTAAAAATACAAAAATTAGCCAGGCGTGGTGGCTGGCGCCTGTAATCCCAGCTGCTCGGGAGGCTGAGGCAGGAGAATTGCTTGAACCCTGGAGGTGGAAGCTGTAATGAGCCAAGATCTTGCCACTGCAATCCAGTCTGAGTGACAGTGAGACTCCGTCTCAAAAAATAAATAAATAAATAAGAATCTTCAAGAGAATGGATAATAATAGATTTATCTAACAAGTCAAGTTGGAGAGAAGATCAACAGGAAAAGCAGTGCCATCTCAAGCCATCACACCTAGAAACAATACTCAAGTATTGTCTATGTGCTATTCTTACATAAAAATGTTGCCACATAATATATTGCTTTTGATATGTTAAGGAAGAGAGAGGCAACAATATTACAGAATGGAAAAACATATTACACACACACACATATATATATGTATGCATGTGTGTGTGTGAAATAAATGTTTTAGGATGTCTTAGTATCCTGAATATATTATTTGCATACCCTTGGATTAAAAATACATAATGAAAGTTTGAGGGAAATATAATTTTTTCATATTTTAAATAGATTGAAATATGTGGATACATACAGAGACAGATAAACAGAAAAGGGCATAATAAAGATATTAGAAATGAATTGTGTTGAAGTAATTTTGCTCTAAGAAATAACTATTTGGGTTTTCTCTTGAATTTAAAAACAATTCAGAGGAAGAAAGGGTTTCTGGGCAGCCAGATATCAGCCAAATTCATAAAGAGCCAAGTACGGTTCCAATCTATCATCTGCAGCACACTAGTGCTGAACCCTACCTTAGCCAAGAGTGTTGCGTACAAAATGCGCTCAGACATCCTGATTATTTTCCAACATTTGCACTCTGCTTTGGCTGATGTTCATTTAGGTTAAATTGTCCCTTTTTTTTTTTTCAAACAAGAAAACATACTTCATCAATTTAAAAATGTTCTGGAGACATTTAATGAATGCAAATGTTTCTAAAGTCTAAATTATAAAGTTGGTTAAGAATATAGGTAGTATATTTTAAAATATCCTGTTATCTAATTATCTGAGTTATCCATGAAAGATTCTCTCCTTCTTTCCTTCCTTCCTTGCTTTCTTCTTTCCTTCCTTCCTTCCTTTCTTCTTTCCTTCCTTCCTTCTTTTCTTCCCTCCCTCCCTCCCTCCCTCCCTTCCTCCCTTCCTTCCTTTCTTCCTTCCTTCTGTCCTTCCTTCCTTTTCTATTTCCCACACCACCTGCCTTTCTCTTTCTTCTTTCTTTCAACTGTACTAACTGGATAGTTGGTGGTTGCTTTCTATCCAATGGCCACAGTGCAATAGACCATGAGCTCCAATAAATAAATAAAGTTCCTTTGTCATAGAGAACTTTGTTGGCTTACTTTTTTATAATTTGTGTAAATTTAAGAGGTACAACTGCTGTCTTGTTACATGGATATACTGTGTAGTGGTGAAATCTGGGCTTTTAGCTTAGCCGTTACCCAAATAATATATATGTATCCATTAAGTGTTTCTAGTCACTACATTGCTCAGATTTGTGACATTAATTTAGACAGGACAGAAAGCTAACCTTAGACCACTGCGTTTGTTTAATATTACAGTCTAGGCCTTTGGTCTCCACTGATTACTCTACTGAGGAAGCTAATCACATGAACCAACTGTAGAAACATCTTAGAACTTGGAAATTTTACTAACTGAAATACCTAGTATTTCTGTAGAAGGCATATCATTTTTTTTTTTTTTTTTTTTTTTTTTTTTTTGAGACGGGAGTCTCGCTCTGTCGCCCAAGCTGGAGTGCAGTGGCGCGATCCTGGCTCACTGAAAGCTCCGCCTCCTGGGTTCACGCCATTCTCCTGCCTCAGCCTCCCGAGTAGCTGAGACTACAGGCGCCCGCCACCGCGCCCGGCTCATTTTTTGTATTTTTAGTAGAGACGGGGTTTCACTGTGGTCTTGATCTCCCGACCTTGTGATCCGCCCGCCTCGGCCTCCCAAAGTGCTGGGATTACAGGCGTGAGCCACCGCGCCCGGCCGGCATATCATATTTTTATGGCACGTCATAGGCCATAGAGATTAGAGCTTTATATTGTTTTATTTAATTCATTCCTTCAACATTAATTCATTCACAAAACTATTGTGTGCTAGCTGTACACAAAATCAAAGATGTCCCTGACCTTAAATAATTTGTGATCTAGTCATTTACTCCTTACAAAAACAGTCAAAGATGGCTCTTATCATCTCTACCTGAGGCTTAAATGCTTAAATCAATAGTGCGGGACCACTGGATAAGAGCCTTCTTAATCTAAGTTCAGGATATTTCCATGATTCCATGTTTCAGACAGAGTCTGTCTGAAACATTAGCCTCTACTTGTCAACCCTTCTCTCTTAGTTCATTTGTGCTGCTATAACAGAAGGTCACAGACTAGGTATTTATAATGAACAGAAATTTATTGACTCACAGTTCTGAAGGCTGAGAAGTCTGAGATCAAATTTCTGGCAGGCTTGGTGTCTGACATAGGCCCAGTCTCCACTCCCAGGATGGCACATTTAAATGCTGTATTTCCCAGAAAGGAGGAACAAGGTTCCTCACATGGCAGAAGACCTGAAGAGGCAAGAGAGAGTGCTCACTCCAGAAAACTCTTTATTAAGGTATTAAATGCATCCATGAGGGTGGAGCCTTCATGACTTAATCACCTCTTAAAGGCCCCACCTCTCAATACTATTACATTGGCAAGTGAATTTCAATATGACTTTTGGAGGGGACACATATTCAAGCCATAGCAGTGTTTTAATAAGTACTTTGATGTATGGACAATAACATGTTCTCTAGAGTCAGGTAGATCTGAAGTAGGATCCCAGCTCTGTCTTCTAATACTTGTATGGATGTGGGAAAATTACTTACTTTCTCTGTTATCCCTATTTGCAATAGAAACTGTTCATGCCCACCTTACAAGATTGTAGAGATCAGTAAATGAGAAGGTACAGATGAGACTAGCATGAAGTAATTGAGAGACTCACCACAGGGTGCAAAATGTATGGAGATGGTACCAGTAATGTAAATATTATTTTAATGTAATATTTAAACATCATATTATTAAATTATGATACATAGGTTAGCCATCTGATTTTGTGAAAAAAAAAATGTTTTATCAAAAACATCGTTGGGGCAAGGGTAAGGCAAATGAGTCAGGGTCATTCCTGCAGGTGAAGGGTTAAATACTATCTTCGTTTAACATTTTGATGTTTTGTTCAACATGTAGTAGGCAGAATTTCTAAAGCAGCCCCCCAAAGATGTCCTTGCTTACTCCCCAGAACCTGTGAATATTCTGATATGTCATTCTTATGATTATTTCATGTTATGTGGCAAAGTTGATAATCACATGAGCTTTTAAAATCAGAGAGCTTTCTCTGGCTGGTGACAGAAGAGTAAAGCAGAAGTCAAGAAGATTCAAAGTGTGGGAAGAATTTAATGTGCCATGGCTGCCTTTGAAGAAGGAGGAAGCCATAGGCAAGGAGTGGCGAGCAGCCACACAGAATGAGAGTGATCAGTAGGCAACAAGGAAATAGGTACTTCTGTCCTACAACCACAGATTATACTGTGAACAGGAATGAGTTTGGGAGGCAACTGTAAGTTACGACTTGATTTCACCTTCTAAGATCCTGAGCAGACCCAGCCATGTCATCATGGACATCTGACCTACACAAACTTTGAGATAATAGATGAGTGTTGCTTTAAGCCACTAAATCTGTAGCAATTTTTATGCTACAGTAAAACAAATAAATCATGAATGTTTTGTATTAATTTTTTTTTTTTTTTTTTGAGACAGAGTCTTGCTCTCTCACCCAGGCTGGAGTGCAGTGGTATTATCTCAACTTACTGCAACCTCCGCCTCCTGGGTTCAGGTGATTCTCCTGCCTCAGCCTCCCTAGTAGCTGGGACTACAGGCGCCCACCACCACACCCAGCTAATTTTTTGTATTTTTAGTAGTGATGGGGTTTCACTGTGTTAGTCAGGATGGTCTCAATCTCCTGACCCCGTGATCCGCCTGCCTCGGCCTCCCAAAGTGCTAGGATTACAGGCGTGAACCACTGTGCCTTGACCCTAATTTCTATTTTTAAATGCTATCTTCATTTAAAATTTTGATGTTTTGTTCATCATTGTAGTAAGCCAAATTTCTAATGCAACCTCCCAAAGATGTCGTTGCTTACTCCCAGGAACCTGTGAATATTCTGATATGTCATTCTCATGATTATGTTATGTTATATGGCACAGTTGATAATAACATGAGCTTTTAAAAGCAGAGTTTATTGCAAATATATTACATTAAAATATCATTTATCCTGAATACTCAATTTTTGGCGCTCCTTACGTATTTTACCAGAGTCGAGTTCCTCATTTACCTCCTTCTATTCCCCTTAATACTTGGCATTATGTAACTACAAAGTGCATGTTCTTATTATCACCCTTGTTATTCACAGTGTCCTGTAATTCTTGTCTAATTGATAGAGAATCATCTTTATCTTCCCCATTTTTTCAAAGTTTCTCTTCTCTGTCTGCTTCTTCCTACCAGTGGCCATGGTCCATGACTCCTTTACTACGTCAGATCCACATAGTCCCTGGACTAACCAGGTGATTATATATTGGAACAGTGTCATAAGGCTATCACCAGATACCCTGCCAAGTAATTGTCTCCTTAAAAGGCCCCTGACTTCCAAATAATTCAAAAGAAGTTTTCTGCTGTTTATTTGATAATTTCTTTTCATCATTTGGTATGGCACATTGAATTCATATTACTAATACAATTTGCTCCTATAGATTTCAACTTTTTCTAACTATCTTTTAAAATATTTTTGTTAGATGTAGGGGATTTAGGATATGTGAGTTTGAGAAACGTGAGTTTGGAAAGAGGTAGGCAGGAACAAAAAAGAAATGGCTAATGAATTTGCTTTCTGGTCTAGAAAGTTCCTGTCTGCATTGTTATAGTAATACTTATTCTGGAGTTCCTATTTTATTACAAAAAAGAGAGAAGGGAAGTAGCTGTAAGAATCATCCATAACCCCCTGTATTAATGACTATTTTCACTAGATTGAATCATAGATATTTTATATCTATAGAAAGTGGTCATTTTTACTGTGCATGTTGATTCATAGTTGCATAACTAATCATGACAACTTTATTAATTGCTTATTATCAAGGGTTTTCTCTTTTATTAGAGAACAAGTGACTTCCTTCCCTTGCACTGGTGTGCATATATATCTCTGTGTGATAGAGATTAATGCATAAAGCTTTGCAGGAAACTGCCTCATTGATTTTGTTGCCTTTATATTTGTCTTCCTTAGATGACTTCCACTAACATAGATAGAGGATGTATAGCCCATTGCAGTGGGACACCCAGGGCCCCGCCTATGGAAGTTGGAGTTCTGGCTTGAGTTCAGGCAGCTGAGTAAAAAGAGTTTAAAGGGATATTTTTGGAGACATGAATGCATTATATTATTGGTTCTTTTTAAGGTCTCCAATACACTGCTTCTTTGATGTGGGTACTTTTACATAGTAGTAGTCCTTGCTTGTGTTTGCATACTGATTAGAAAGTGTACTACCAACACTGATGTAAAGATGTGCCCATTATACTATTTAATTTTCTAGTGAGTTGTATAGAAGTTCTATCTCTCAAATTTATGTGTTTGAATATTCTATGCCATGTTTTCTAATTCTTCAAATTCCATGTTAACCAATCCACAGCCTTAATGTATAATTTAGAAATGGTTTTAAACTCCCGTTGTTTTCCCCCATTATTAAGACTTGAATTGATTTATAAGATTTGTATGCAGTAGTAAATTCTACTCTTAAACATAACTTAATCTAGCAGCATCAGAGCTAATGATGAATAAATGTAACCTACCTCAATAATGATACTTCCGTTTAAAGAAACCATGAAGAAGTCCTTTTTGAAGAAAAGTATCAAATCAGTACCTTAGAGTCTTCTGTGCTATGATAGTGCATTGAATACAAGAAAGCTGATGGGGTAGTTTTAAAAAATGTCCTGACAGAGTCAAGGTGATGGCCATTTTTAGCTGCCCTGCTATCCATCACCTCTTTCAGCCAAGCATACTCCATCATATGCAACAGCTTCATGAATTTATGCATCAAGCTGTGCAGCCAGTCGTGCCGAGGGCGCTGGTGACAAGTGAAATTGCTGTGCGCCTCATTTAGCTGTTTATTGCGCCTGAGTACGTGTTGCAGCTGTCATCCCACGATGGGATGATAGTGCTCGTTAATAGACAAGACAGGCAAATAATGATGGAGGCCACAGCAAGAGATGCTCATCTGCCAATGGGCTCTGAGCAATATCACAAACATCCACAAAGTTCTCCATCAAAAGCAGCCCTGTAAGAAAATACAGAAGGCAGGGCTGTTCTTCATGGGACTAACAATGGAGATTAAACTGTTGCAAAAAGTGTAGCCCAGTAGATCTTATAACTTAGGACTGGCATTTGGGCTTCTACACTATGCTTCCCTTTTGAAAGAAATACAAGAAAATGACTAGACACAATCTCCAGGTTTGCTTCTGATGTGTAAGTTGACCATATTCCTACCACACACCATGGAATTAACCTTAACGTAGTTGAACAGTTGGCTGTATTCTGCTGGCAACCACAGTACCAGAAATTTGCAAAAGTTATTTTTCAACTGTTTGAAGACTTGTTTCAAACATTTAGGATTTTGGATGGCTGTCTTTCAATTCTTTTCAGTATTTTAGTGAAAAGCGACTTGAAATAGAAATATTCTATCTTTAGATTTGAATGGAATTTTCTTTTGTATAAAATTGAATTATATTCAGGCATTCATATCTTGGCACATAGCAAAGAAGCTCTTAATAAAATCTCTTGCAGATGAAAATCTGTTAAACAACTGACTTTCATTTCCTTTTTCTCTGAATATGTGATGCTTAATCTTACGGGTATTTTACAGTTGATGATTAGTAAGTGCCTATGGTATAGGCTTAAATGTGAATCTTTATGATTTTACCAACAGATTATTCATTTTGTAAGAATATAGAACTTAAAGAGTTAATTAACATGTTTGGTGTAATGAGATGAAGCAAATTCTGACAATCCTTTGCAGACTTTTGTATATAACAGAAATATCCAAGAGAATTTGAGTTCTATGCTTTTTAGCTGGATACTTTGAGTGTCAAATATAGAAAAAAAAAATCAAGGTCCAAACTGTGAACTTGGGATGGAAATAACTATCGGTATTTTACAGTTTAACAGAAGAGCTGGAAAAAAACCTTCAGTATAAAAAAATGAAAATGAAATATAGGAATAATCTATTAAACACATATACACTATTAGGAACATGGCCTTCTTGGATTTAACAACATAATAACATGTGGCTATGGCCTTTTAAATGATGTCCACCTTGCTATAAGAAAAGACTGACAAAAGTTGAACAAAGACATTATTACTCATAAGCATGTCAAGAATCACATAAAGTACTAACCATGACAACTAGAGGGAACACCCTTATCAGGATCACGAAGCTATCGTGATGAAGAAACCTTAGTGACCTTCTAGTGTGGCCTCATCATTTTAGGATGAAGAAACCAAGTCTCCTAGAGGCCAAGTGACCCAGTGAGGTCTGCAGTGAGTCACCCGTAGCATCTGCAGGTCTCTGGGGCCTAATGTCCTCCATAGCTGCTGTACCTGTGACATTTCCCACAGCCTTGCTGTGACTGACTTTGTGCGCTTATTTTTATTATTTACTAACAAAAACCTTATTTTTATGTATATGTTGCTTCAAAAGATCATTTTGATTTATTTATTTACATATGCATATTTACTTATATGCTTATTATTTTTAAAGAAGGAAATACAAGACATGCAACAATAGGGGTAAAATAATGAAAAGAGGAGAATCAGAACAAATATACTCAGGCTAAGGATAATTGCTAGATTTGGATATAAAATTTATCACTTATTTAAAAGGATTGATTCATTCTTAAATGTGATTATTGTCTTTGGGCCAAAAATTACTTCAGTGAGAATGAATCTTCAGTTTTATGATAGAAATAAATTAGAAAATATAAATTAACTTGCAGAAAAAATAGTTTTATGATGGAGATTTCAAGAATACACATTTTCTGTAAAGTGAGGCACATGTGTTAATTTTTTAAAGGTTCTTTCCTTATTTAAAACATTCATACTGTGAATCTTCTGTTATTCAAAACGTGTAGTGAAAACCATTTAAAACAAGTATCCAGTGAGAATCTGGATCCAGAAGCGTCTGTTTGCCATGTAAATCTGATAAACACTTAGTATACAAGGCAATGTATATTCTACAACAATTAATTTGGATGCATAGTAGACATCATTACATAGGCAGTACAGAATTATATTTGGATTATATATTATAGTAATGATTTAGCTCAGAGTCTTCATGTAAAATCCCATAGACTAACATGTAGTAACTTTATATACTTTATTTTCTTTTCCTGTTTTGTGCTTACTGTGGAATAATACAGTGGGAGCTATGTTATTCTGTTCCTTTGCTTTTTCAAAAATAATGACAACAATCTTTTATTTTTGGCATTTGCAGAACTAATGGTCAGCAAATTTGAATATGTTGACTCCTTTTTCTTAATGAAATGGAAAACAGATGTGTGTTACACACACACACACACACACACAAAGTTTTATTAATGTTTCATAAAATGGTTGCTACAATCAAAGGAACTGCTCTGAAAATTAAATTACTGGGCTGACTCTGAAAATCAGCATAATATGCTCTGTTTAATTCAGTCATGCTAAGATGTTAGATTCCCCTTCATTCTCTCAGCTTTCTCTCTCCTTCACCTGGGGGCATCTGCTGATGAGTCTCTTCTAGAGGTTGTTTAATGACTATTTTACAGGAACTGTCAGCTTTCTAAAGCCCAGTGGCATTGGGCGTCACTGTATTACCAGCCTTTTTACACAATTTGCCTGACTGTAAATCAGAGGTTTAAAAGTACAAGAAAAGCTCCTATTTGATTTAATGACTGGTTGATGGGGGTTGATTAATCTTTCTATGCTCAGATGTTTTACTCATAAAGGTCATCTATTGTTTGTTTATACTCACTTTTCTGATTTTAGAAACACAAGAAATAAGAAGACCATTTTGAGAAGAACAGAGAGTAGCCTTAAGAAAATCCCTGTCGCATGCACTCTGGGATTTGGACTCAAATCCTAATTATACAGTAAGTGAAATGAACACAGCCTTCACATTAACCTAATGTAAAGCTGCAAAACCGTGATACCTGCTTAATTTGGTTAGAGAAATTGAAGATAGTGGCCCTTCTTTTGAGCAGGGATGGGGGTATTTATTTCTATTTTTAAAAGCAGGGGTATTGATCATATAAAGAACATTCTTTCCTCTCCACCCAGCGCTTTCAAAAAAAACCAAACAAACAAACAAACAAGAATCTTTTTAGTACTATCATCTTGTTTTACTCAGGACATTACCTGTATTCATGGTTAGGAGCTTTATTTAATTTTTTTTAAAAAGTATAAATTTACCCTTTTAAAATTTTGAATTAATTCATGGTAACCTTAATATATAATACACATTCTTGTTTATTGAATATAAGATGAGTACTCAAGATGTCCACCAAATTATTTTGGTCAGTTTTAATTTTTGTAGTGTTTAAAGACAAAAGGGTAACTCCTTTGATCAAAAGGTGTATCAATCAACCAAAGCTACTTAATAAATGATGTTAGATCACACAAAAAAGTAGCATACAGAAAATAATGCTGAGGAAATATTCAACAGGTTTGTTAACACTATCCTTTCAAAAGTTAACACAACAGAGTAGAGTTATTCTTCAACTAATCAAAATATTATCTAACCATGGGCTCCCCTAAACAAGTGGAAAGGAACAGTCATTCTGGCAGTTTTTCCTGAATGAAGATTTCTTATTACAAGTGGACACAAGATAATACAACCCCGTAGAAGGTGGGGCATACATACTGAGCAAAGGTGGTTGTAAATTCCCGCTTTCCTTTCAAGAGTGAGAATAATATAAACACTGAAGAAAAATATGGTCCCATAGCTTTTCATTGGAAAATCTGTTCAGATATGCAGAGCTGAGGCATCTGGATATCAACCTTGCAAAATCCCTAGAGGTAAGAATTTTGCTATTACCAAGCAATTCAAGGTGTCAAAAAGTCACCTAACTAAACTTAACACTGCTTTGTTTGAATCTCAAGTTCACATTTTACCACCAAATGACCATAAAGAAACTATACATGTAAATAAAATGATGAGTAGAATTCTGGTAAATTTTTCTTAAAGTATGGTTTTAAATGCATTTCTAAGGACAAATGTAGAAGGAATAGGGTACAGCACAGTACAGCTGCTCTGAAGATGTAGCACAGGTATCATCTCTTCCTGGAAAATTCCAGGACTTCTTTTACTGTGCAGCCCCTTCCTTGGGCTTTTACTACATTAAATTGCATTCATTTTTTAAAACTTGGTCATCTTTCTCTAGAAAATTGTCTTTATGAGAGCAGGGCCTATTTTATGTTTACCTTGACATATCCAAAACATTCTAGGACCTAGGATAGTGTCACACACTTGGTAAACGTTCATTAAATATTATTTGAATTAAATAATCAAGTTCTGCTAAAAGTTTTTCACATTTAGCAGAAGCCTGTTTTAAATATTACATTCCCTGTTAGGATTCTGACTGCTTCCTATTGCTAAGCTTGAAGGGGCAGTGAGATTGAACATGGAAATGGAGGCTCTAGTCTCAGCTCTGTGACTACCAAGCACTTAAACTTTTGATTCTTTAGTTTCTTATCAGCGAAATTCAGGATTGGATTTATCGCTGAGATTCTTGACAGCTATGATACTCTGATTCTTAGATTCCTGCTATTCTCATTTGTAGTCAGCCCTTTTCTGTCTGCCTAGTTGCAACTCTAAATTGTCACTAATATCTAACATTTACTAAGCATTTATTTGTGGCATGCATACTATCTCCTATAATACAACAATCCCATGAATAAAGTTTTTACAATGCTAACATTGGAGCTCAGAAAGATGCAATATTCATCCAAGAGATTACATTAGCCATAAGTGGCATACATAAGATTCAAGCCTTGATCTTCCAGTGACAATTTCCCCCACTTTTTCCATTGTTCTGCCCAATATTAATTGCGGCTCATTCATTTCTGTACTTCTAATAGGATAACATTGTAATTTCTAAAATAGAATTCCTCAAGGAAATAACAGGACCCTCCAAGAGGAGACTTTCTGATTGTAAGTCAGTGACTCTGAGTTGTTTTATCATCAGACCTGATGGGGTTCTTCTGATCCCCCATATCTTTTCTCATCCTCTGGTGCCCAGTGCCATGCATTTTCAACTGCAGTTTCTGGACAGATGGCTGATGGACCCTTAGGCCATAAAATAGTCTACTCACACAAGAACTGAACTTGTGACCTCAGCGTTATTTTCACCGTACCCCAAACAAGTGATTTAAATAGACAAAGACAGGCTTGATAAGCACTACATGAAATAAAACACAACCCCAAGATGTGTAAATATTTATCATTTGGTCCATTTCTATTTTAATTAATTTCATTTGTTTATTTCAGACTTGTACTTTGTAAAACAATGCACTAGAAACTACAGAATAAATGCATAGTCTGGATGGACCTCTAGAGCTTACAGTGTATGGGGAGAGGGGAAACATGGAGCCTTACCACAGGTCCTAAGACAAGCCAAGTGCCAAGAAGTGCAAAGTCTGAAGAACCTCATTCAGATGTGAGGTATCAGAAAGAGCTTTGTGAGGTGACCCTGATAACCTTTCACTCCTCCCCAGTTCCTCTCCATATCTCTATTTTTATGATCAGGAATAGTTCCCAAGTTACCACTTCAAACTGGCTCTTTAACAGCCTATTGGCACTCATACCAAATTCTTAATTGGATCTCCTTGCAATGGTCCTGGCTTGACCTTACTCCACTCTGTATTGTAAACTTATTTTTATCTACAGATCCAGGTGATTTCCAGTGTGATGCCTATTTTTATGTGTCAACTTAACTAGGCTAAGAGGTGCCCAGAGAGCTGGTAAAACATTATTTCTGGGTGTCTTTGAGAGTGTTTCTGGAAGAGGTCAGCATTTGAATAGGTAAATTGAGTAAAGAAGATCCATGTCACCACTATGGGTGGGGATCATTCAACCTGTTGAGTGACCAAACAAAACAAAAAGGAAGAGGAAAGGTGGACTTGCACTCTCTGTGTTTGAGCTGGGATATTGATCTTCTCCTGCCATAGTTATTGGCTCTCCTGATTCTGGGGCATTCAGACTGAGACCAGTACTTATTCCAATAACTGTTTGGTTCTCAGTCCTTTAGACTTGGACTGAATTACACCAATGATTTTCCTGGTTCTCCAGTTTACAGACAGTAGAGAGTGGGACTGCTCAGCATCCATAGTCAAGCCAATTCCTAATATATTCTATTGGTTCTATTTCTCTGAAGAACCCTGAGTAACACACCCAGTTTACTCGTTTCATTTAATTTCCCATTTACTGGTTTCTTACTCCTCTGAGTACTGACTGGACTTTTTCTTCTTTGATTTTGCTTTTACCCCCTCATCTTTTAGTTATACTTCCCCTACACTGTATTTATGATCCTACTGCTGTTCTGTGTTCCTTAAAACCTTTCCTCCACAGAGTTCTCTCCAACTTCCAGAGGAGCACAGAGATTTCACTCTTAATCCTTTAGAATATTAAAGCACTAACTGCCTTAGAACAGAAGCTCCAGAATATACAGTGTTTTGAAGAGCCAAATTTAAGATTTTATTTTAAAGGGAGTAAGGAAGCTCAGCTAAGGATTCAACCCAAGGTAAACTTGACCAGTAAGTTGAGACTATCAGGTGGATTTTGACTTTCATCTAATGGTCAAGAAACTGAGGGAACAGAGTGTCATGGAATGGTTTTCCCTCCTCATGAATCGACCACCTCCCTTCTCTATTTGCTTTTCCTGAAGGTCTCCTTTAACTCTGAGGTTCTGTAATACTCAATGTCAATCACGCTGGGTGTAGGGACAATGTAATAATATGTTTTATTGCTTTTGTTGTCTACAAATGTGGTGGTTTCTTTTTAGGAATTTACTTCATAAAATTGTTTTTAAAATCACCAAAAGAAATATTTGTAAGTGTAGAAGGATTTAGAAAAGAAGACAATTCAATATTGTTCAGTAAATAGTAATTAACAGACTAGCCTCTCAATCAGTTCCAGCTCTTAAGTTAGTATCCCCAGCAAGCTACAAGTAATATTTAAAATTAAGTTTAACTTAATATTACCATATGCATCCAAATTCTTAAGAATATTCTCAATCTCTTATTATAAACTGCTTTCAAAATTCTATCTTAATATATCTTATATTTTGGGATTTAATTTAGGCAGGTCATGCCACTGCATATATTTAAATGTTTCTCATCTAAGGTTTCTATGAAGTAATGCTGACTTAAAAAGTCTATAATGGTAAAAATAAGTGACATTTCTACCAATAACTGCATTATCAATCACAGCATAACTGAACCGTGATTTGCTAGAAGATTGTTCTCTATTGCTTTGGCAATAGAATATGGGGACCTACTGAAGTTCACATCAACAATTCCCCCATAAAGTTACAATAAGCTTAACAGACTGTCTCTCCAGGTCTATAATGATGACTGGAATAGGAAATTCGGACAGCACAAGTGGTCGCTTCTTAGGCTTCCTGCCAGAATTTGAAAACCACTATAACAAGTCGTTTCTGCCAAGTAAGTGAAATCTGAATGCTGGCTAAAACATTTGAAAAAAAAAGAAGAAAAAAAGAAAAAGAAACCCATGCTGACTAATAGGCGCTAATGTGTGAGTAATAATTAGTGCAATTAAGTGACTGGCGCTGTGCGGGTGAAATTTTCAGAATACAAAACATTAATGTAGGGGCTTGCATACACATAAACAAAGCTTTACAATGGGCTAATATAAGCTGTGATATATGGAAAAGTTTAATGGTCAGAAAAAAATTGTGGAAGTCTCATTGCAGGTATGTTAGTGTTAGATACAGATATTCAATGAATATAAATCATTATTACAATCTTACATAATATTCAAACATGTGTGACTGTGTGTATGAGTGTGTGTATGTTTCATATATCCTTGGATATATGGAAAACAGGTTTTGAAGGCTGATAGCAGATTTAGTAAAACTAAACTGAAGCATATGAAATTAGAAAATGTTCATAGCTATGAAACCACACTACCTAGCTGTCTACTCAGGTTCCTATTTATCCCTCTCTACCACCTGTACAACCCCCATCTCCTTGCCATATATCCACCTCCATTCTTCTATTCTTTAAATCTATCTGAATAAATGTCTGTCATCCTTCTCTCTCTCTCTCTCTCTCTCTCTCTGTCTCTCTGTTTCTCTCTCTCTCCCTCTCTGTCCGTCTGTCTCTCTCCTCCACCCACCATTTATCTGAATATATAGGACTAGTTTCCTTGGTAAATAGTACAGAATTATAGCTGAGAAAAACCATGGACTTAGTTCATCTAACATGGGGAATAAATTATTATTCTCTCTTAGAAATACTGCTATGTCAAGGTCAGGGTTGAGGTCATTTGCAAGGCAATGCAGAGGACAGCATATAATTTACTAGCCAGAATCACTCACAGCTGATGGGAGGTAGGAATAATGTTTCCATCCGAAATCCATACTCATTTAGCTTTCATAAACAAATGCTTGTAAAAGTATAAAAAATATTGGGTTGTGAGCTTAATTAAGAAGCATCAAATTATCCATTTCTTCTGTTCACCTTTGGAAAATATATTTAGTAGCTGATGATTAGCGACCTGCGTGTTTATTCAACAGGAATAAGGAACTCTAAATCAACATGTTCTAATGTGCTGTCCTTTGCAAATGAAGACAACATTATTGATTCACAATCAACGGCCATGTATTTATTTCTTCTTTCTTCTGAAGGGTTAAAGTATTGACGGCAAGTGGACTATCATCCCCAGTTTCTTACGTTGTCTAATTTGTGACCTATGGCTTTAATCTAATAAATAGCTGTCCAGCATAAAACAAGTAGCTCTTGATTGTGAAACAGAAACAGAGTAAGCACAGTATAATTTTTTTTTTTTTTTTTTTTTTTTTGCTCTCTTTACCAAGTGTCCTGGAGAGTTTTAAAATGTTCAAATACTCACAAGTTTCAGTATTTTAAAACATTTTTATTTGATGATGCCATTCACTACTACCCCTTGCTATTTATTTTCCATATATGCTCTGTACAATGAGAAATGGACCTCAGAAATACAGAGGGAGAAAAATGACACCAACAGGAAAGAATCTAGAAAATATTAAAATAAAATACCCTACAAGTAGAATTCATCTGGGCCTGCATACATAAATAAAATTATGGTCTTAACTCTGTTAGCACAACTTGATATTTCAGCCCATAATCATTTCATTCTAATTTTAAAACAACATTATTCCCTTCTTCAATTTGATGGGTCCTCCTGCTCTGTTCTGTATCCTGTATCATTTCATCTCTTCCTTGACATAGACATTCTTTCAGTAAACACTACTCTTGGCAAAAGGGATTTAATGACAAATTAAATGAGCCCCCAAATTCCTGAGTAGAAAATATTGACAAAATAGATAATTATCTATTAGATAAAATCATACATTTATTTAAAAATCCTGCAGTTATACATAGAAGGAACTCTCAATCCAGGCTATAGGTAGAAAGCAAAAAGGATTTAGGCAGATGAAAAAAATGCTTCCTAGGGGATCTGTTCATATTTATGCCTGAATTTCAAAGCTCTTCTTCTATACTGACTTTTTTCTGTTAACATGCTCAAGTATTTCCTGTGGTGAAACAAAGAAAATCTCGTCAATCCTATATTTCTCTTTGACAAATACCCTGGCTCCTTTTTCTTCCTCACTCAGCCAACTTTCTTCTCTGCATGGTTTACACTGTGTCTGTGTTCTCAACTCAACTCACTGCCACCTAGCTTTCAATTTCTCTACATTGCTGAAAATTTTCTCATTTTGTCACTTTTGATCTCTTTTCTTTTTGAACCCTCTATTCCCAGGAATTCCATGGTATATATATCATTCCAGGTTCTTCTCTTATCTCAATTCCAAATCCTTTCCTCTTTAAAAAGAATATCATTTTAAAAACCAATGTTCTTGAGTTCTCTGGTCTAGTGTTTCTTCTTAGTCTACGTATTGTCCATAGTGATCAATCTGTCTCTCTCTCTCTCTCTCTCTCTCTCTCTCTCTCTCTCTCTCTCTGTGTGTGTATGTGTGTGTGTGTGTGTGTCTGAGAGAGAGAGAGAGAGAGAGAGAGAGAGATCCATTCTCTTGGTTTTACCTACATATTTACATCTTCCAAACACAAGCCTTGACCCCTTTGGTTCTCCTCTGAGTTTCAGAAGCAAATACCTAAATGTTGAGAAATCTCTACTTGGAAGTGCCAGAGACATTACCACATTTCCAACATGGTCCAAAATTTATCTCATCACCTCTTCCTTGATTTACAGTGGGGTTATATCTTGATAAACCCATGGTAAGTTGAAAATGTCTTAAGTAAAAAGTGAATTTAATATACCTAACCTAGCAAATGTCATAGCTTGACCTAGCCTACCTTACATATGCTCAGTGCACTTACACTTGGGCAAAATAACTTAACACAAAACCTATTTTATAATAAAGTGTTGACTATCTCACGTAATTTATGAAATACTATACTGAAAGTAAAAAACAGAAAGATTGTATGGGTACTGGAAGTACAGTTTCTACTTAATGTATATCATTTTCATACCATCGTAAAGTTTAAAAATTGTAAGTTGAACCACGACAAGTTGAGGACAGTCTATATATACAACTATATAAATATGTATAAGTTCATGTGATTAATGTCAGGGGTATAAAAATAATTTGACTGTACATTTAAGTTGCTTTTATCTGTGCCTTAAATTGGTATTCTTTTTCCTAAAGAAGACTCTCAGTCTTACTAGAATTATCTTTGTTTTACAGATATTTAAACAGAAACACATGCAATTTAAATAACTTTCCCAAGGCCGGTTAAGTGGTAGTAATAATGGTCAGAGATTCTAATCCAATTCTATTACTTTAAAAATATTAATTGTTTTTACTATGCCACAATAATTCCATATATAACCACTTACAAAAAAGAAAAAAAATATAAAACAGTTTTTTAACTCCAAACCAAGAATCAGTATCACTTCATGATCAAATGATGTTATAATATAAAAAAAGAACTTTGGTGATTTTTAAAACATTATTCTCACTTAAAATGCTCTATGTAAATTGAAATTAGTTGCAGATATTATTAGTACCTACTTATATAAACCATATGTTTTCTTAATACTTTGCTAATGCAAATTTCAAGGATTATACTATGATATCTTAGTAAATTGTATTAAACACATTAATGGGAATTATATTTTTAAATTTGCTTGTAAATCTTCAAAATTATCAATGTGTGAAGGCAATCTGTTCTTCACACTTTACTCTTGAAAGTTGATATTAGCCTTTTTGAAAGCAGCTAAAAGGACTGAGGTAATAATAAATTAGAAAATGAATCGCTAGAATAATAATTAAAATGGCACCCAACTGAAGTATCATGACAAAACATGGCATGACAGGTAGTGAAAATTAAAAACCAGAATTAATCAAAATATGAAATAACCATCAATAATTAAAGTCCCTTGCAAAAATTAAGGATAGTTACTATTTTAATGACCAAAGAAGCCTTAAAGGTATGAAATGGTACATTATAATACAACCCACTACTTGGTGGCAGCCAATTCACAAATATTCGTGTTGGAGGAATGCAGAAAATATTTCTTACATCTTGAAAGCTAAATCCAAATAAAAGCAAGCTAATAAGTAAATTTGATGACAGTTGTCTCTTCAGCATTATATAAATTAAAATTTTAAATTGAATTTCGTCTATTGACTAAAGAAAAACATTTTTGGAGTAAAAATCAAGAAATAATTTTACCTTAGCATTAAATAGAAAAACTTTTGAAGTGGGAAGCATAAGAAGGAAGTAAATGGTTCAGTAGTTTGACCTTTACAGTTGTTTACATCTTTAGAAATATTTCACAAAAATATGTAGCAAAAGCAGTATTTGAAAACATGAAGTTGACCATTTATTTTTAAACATAGTGAATACTGACTGTATATGGAATAGAAATTAGTATGTTTTTGAGCTGGAAGGAGACAAGGATAAAAATATCTAATAGCCAAAAGCAGAGGCATAAGAAAATCTGAAATGATACTGAATGAGGAAAAGAAATTACAGGCTCAGAAGATAATGTGGCCTTTTAAAATAAAAATTTTTTAAAACCTATATTTTATTTCAATAAATATTGACAAGAAAGGAAAAATAAACAATTCTAAAGGGCTATGTTAAAGTTTCTCCTAAGCACAAGTAGATATATTCCCAAATCTTTAGATCATTCTAAATACCATGATGAGTCCCTAGATGGTCAAATATATGAGATTTTATAGGAAGCATGACTTCTTCAAAAGATGGAGAGTATTCAACAGCTGAAAATAAACCTTAAATAAAAGGCTTAAAATTATTTGAAGGAGCCATATGTGATAGCAGGAAAAAAAAAAAAAAAAACTATTGATGAAAGTAGTAATGGTTTACATTACAATAATTATTAATATGCATTTTCATCAACTCTAAGCTCAAAATACAAAAAAATTCTGCCTCATTTAAATTAAAATTCTATC